GAGTGAGTTTTGGAAGGTCTCATTTCTTTTAGAGAAGCCTGCACAAGAATCTCTAGGGACTTTTACCTACTAGTTTCATTTTCATGCCCAACATTTTTATTTTCTTATATAAAAGTGAGAGAATATTGTGGGAAAGGAGAGAATATTGCTGGAGAGAATATTCTGGGAAAGGAAGAAACAGAAAACAGACACTGTCTTTTATGTCTTGCAAAATGAGAGAAAGCATCTCATTCCAAATGATACTGGCCCTACCCTATTTGACTCAAAAAATACAGGTTGGAACTATTTAAATATGTAATAAAAGTACTTCAACCAGCTTCACTAAACCCGCTCACCTTCTCCATTTTGTGCAGCATTTCTTTTTGCAGGTAAATGTTCAAATCAACTCTGAAATGTTAATTACTGTATATAAATCAAGTTTGGGAAATACCCAAGGTGGGCATCTTCTAAATTCAACCAGAATATTGTGGTGGCAAGCTCCACTTCATGAAAAACAGACCAAGAAGTTGCTGCTTGTAACATTGCCAAGTTCCAACTTGTGTTGTACTTCTGAAATGACACCATTTGAAAATGACTACACTACAACTGGGGGAGAGACAAGGAATGTATCAATAGTATTAATGAATCATCCCTTAGAGATCATGAATAAACCATTTGGCAAAGTTTTCCCTGTAGGAAATAATTTTTTTTTTTTTGTCTGTTACCATTTATGGGTCAAACCAAAAGTGTAAATGTAAGTGGATTTGGCAGAGGTATTTCTCACTGTAATGCAGAACCTATTAAACTGAAGTAAATCTCAATGACATCAAGGGCACCTACTTTCATCTACAATCTTCGTCCAGGTTCTCCTGTATATGAGAGCATTGACACGGCAGCAACAGATTGCTGTTGTTAAGTGCTGTCAAGTCAGAACTGAGTTACAGTAACCCTAATAGAGCTTTCAAGATAAGTGAAATATTTAAGGAGTGGTTTTACCAGTTCCACTCCCACTGTGAGTTTCCATGGCTCAGCAGGGATTTGAACCCTCATCTCCAGAGTCTTAGTCCATCATTCTATCCATTATGCTATAATGAATCAGGACATTCATGCTGACTGGAACCTTCATTTCTGCATCAAAATATCTGAACAGGACTAAATTTAAGGAGGAGACAATTTGCTAACTACAGTGAAGTTTCTGTCACCAGGGTGGGTTATTTTTTCTGTTTAAGGTATCTTTGTAATACCACTTATCTTCATTTTTTACGAATTGCTGTCTTGGCATTACTATTCACCCTGATAACAATGAACAATCTCATTGTTATCAGGGTGAATTTGTCAATGAATTTGTCTATAAATGATAAGATGCTGCAGAATCAAATAAAAGTTCATAATCAGGAAATGGACCACATCAAGCTTATGGATCCTTCAGTGCAGTGCACTCTTTCTGGCTACCTGTAAATGTTCATTTGTTTACAATATTTTAATGCATGGATTTGTATCTCTCAAATACCTGGAAGTGATGAACAAGATATTCAGCTGAGACAATAGTCACTAGTGGCCATCACAACTTTTAAAACATACTTCTTAACATTAGTGCATAAATATCAAATAACTACAAAATGTGTTTTCTGGTTTTAAAAAAATCTGTTCTACTGTTACGCATTATTATCCAAGTTACTACATCAAACCTGAAGTATTACTAATGCAAACATTTCATCCCCCTTTGTTCTTAGGTGATGTTAAATAACTGCTAATGAACTCTTCTTTAGGTAGCTAATTCAATATTTAGGAACATGTGATGGCAGGATGACAGACATTATTACTATGTTTCAAGCTACAATAAGCAACCATTTAGAAAAGAAACACACATGGAAGTTCTTTTTATTACTGAAGCTTAATCAAGCATGAAATGTGGCTACATAAACCAAGGTCTCACTTAATTACTACCATGCTGCTATCTGTGCTTCAATTTGCTGAGTTATGGGTAATGGCTAATTCACAAAATATTCTTAGACTATCAAAGCTGAATTTCAGACTTGATCTACAGCATCTGCAACCTGATTTACAGTATCAAAAAAATTATAAGCACCTCTCTGGAAAATACATTTCACTCATACTTTACCACCTAAATGCAACACTCTGTCACTCTCATCATGCTTATTTCCCTGTATCTAGGTACAAGCCACAGAAAATTAAATTACCCATAATTTAAGGGAAATTAATGGAGTTTAAGTACTAACACTTCTCTAGCTTGCATTGTTATTTATAGGATAATGGATTTACAGTGCACAGTCACAGTTCTGTGTTCTTTTACATTACAATTATAAATATATTCTAAGTGTTCTTCTAAATAAACTAGTGTTCAGCATTTCAAAGAGAAGCAGTTAGGATCAAACACAATCACAGTGTATCTGCCTTCATATACAAAAAAAACTTTAAACATTTGATTTTTTTAACATTTTTTCATTTGTATTTTAAAGTTACAAACCATTTACTCTGCAGTAGTTCTATCAATTTCAATATAAACATTTCAGCGTGATAGATTATAACACACACAAAAACCTATATTCAGCATGCTTGCCGTAATAAATCTATTTTTAAAAAAGTTGTAGCAAGGTATTGTGTTTTTTTCATCTTCGGTGTTTATTATCCTTTAAATTTTTAAGCACAGTATTAGACAGGTGTATTCAAAGAACTGTCCAATGGACTTCCAGGGGCTTACAATACTCCATATACTGTAATATAGTATAGCTGACTTAGGCTGCCATACAAAGCATGCATACAGAGCCATTCTATAAAGTGAGGCTTAAGCCGGGCTGTTGATAACTCGCTGTGTGTCTTTAGCATTATAACCTTACATCACCATCTTATGCTTGTTTCCTCAGTAGGTGGGCCCTATATTCTATGAGGCTTACTCCACCCAAATGTGGATTGGGCTACAGTTAAAGACCCAACAACTCAACAGGATTTTCTTCTGAGAAAAAACACCTAGGATTGGACAGCCCTCTTAACCAACTGATCTTGAGGAAATGAACTGGGGCTGACTTTCTAAGAAAAGGGTGTTTATGAGGAGTTATTCTATTTTTTCCTAATACAAAACAAACAAAAGTCAAGAGTAAGATATATTTCCTGAAGCTTCATTGAGAAGAATTCCTGGGCACAACCTGCATCTCAGCAGAAGAGTGTTGTTCTGACAATCGGCTCCCCACCCGTCCTTACGGGCATTTCTAGGCCAAGCCCTGTTGTCTGAGGAAAGGGGGCTGTGGTTCGGCCTGAGTTGAAAGGAACGGGAAGGCACAAGTGCAGGGCGAGCGATTCGTTGGGGACAGGATGGGACGCGACGCACATCATCCGCTCTCCTCCTCGAGTGCCCATCTGTCCGGCTCAAGCTGCCTCCTGCCGCCCTAGATCGATGGCAGCTGCAGCCGGTCCTTGAGCGAGGGAGTTTTTAGGACACACTCCTCCTAACTCGAGGAGGAGGAGGAGGATCGGCCTGGGGAAAGCCACACAGTTCAAGGAGGTGTGTCTTCCAACTACGCTCCTGTCAAACGCTCCACACCAAAGGCAGAAAGAACAAGGCGCGCACAGTCCCGACGTGCCAGCGCCAGCCCTCAAGCCCCAAATGCACCGGGGCTTGGGCGGATGGCGCACAGAAACGCCATCTGTGTCATCTCAGAGAGTGTCTATGCCGTGACCCCGAAAGATCGCCTCTCTCTCTCTCTCTCTCTCCTGCTCCCCCCTCCCCACCCCACCCCAAGACTCCCTCCCTGTTTCTGCCGAAGTTCAAACTTGTGCCAGCGGCGGCAACCCAAACGGGGGCGGCGGGGGTGGGTGGCTTGATTTCTCCCCGCCGTGGGCTAACACGCCAGCTCCGATGGCTCCACTCTAGCCAGGAGGCGCGAGGGTTTCCCCGTAAAGTTAAAAAAAACACACAAAAACCAGTATATATATACATATATGTATATGTGAGTATGTATATGTATATATAGTCAGAAGTGTTTGTGTTTCTATCTTCTGTATGCCTGCTGATCTTGAAATATATATATTATATATACTGTATATCTCAAGATCACCAGGAATCGCCATGCATCCCTAGCCGGAGCAATACAATTCCTGCAGTCTCTCTGCTAGCCTAAACCTAGGGGGCCTTCCAGAGAGGGAGCGCGGAAGTAAGAGTAAGAAAGAGAGAGAGAGAGAGAGAGACCTGCCATGCCCCCTGGCTAAACGCAGGGTTAGCTCCCCTTGCAAGATCTCCCACCACCACCACCACCTCCTCCTCCTCCTGCCTCTCCCCAAAGAGGAATGCAATTTCCCCTTTCCCTTCCCCTCCCTCGCCTTTTGATCCCAAGAAAGGTGGACACCAGTATTTAGAAAAGGGAAGGCGGAGCGGGGAGGAAGCGCCCTTTCTAAGTGGGTTGATGGGGGTCAGAAGAAAACTCTGCTCCCTTCACAAGACAAACCCGTAAAAAAAAACTACTGTAAATAACTGGCGCGGAGGGGGGGGAGAGAGCGAGCGAGACAGAGAGCGCGGGCTGCAAAAACTGCACTGGGACCAGAGGGGCGGAGGGGGCGGGAGAGGCCAGGCGGCGGCAGCAGCAGCAGCTCGGGGAGACCGGAGTGGGATGGGAAGGAGAGCCGCTTCCCTTCTCAGCCCAACCCGCCAAGGGAGACCCCCGAGGGGCTCGCCGAGGCTCCGGACGAAAGCAGCGGGACAACCAGCCGCCTGTCTCTGCACGGAGGCGCCCGCTTACACACGCCGCTGCCGGCGCCTCTTCGCTTTCTACTCCCCGCGCTTCCGAGCCCGGGACCCGGGAGAGCGAGAGCAGCAGCAGCAGCAGCAGGGCGGAAAAAAAAAAGAGAGAGAGAGAGGCGTCTAAGGTGGCGGCAAAGGGGGGAGGAGGAGGAGGAGGCTCCGGCATTGCCTCCTTGTCTTCCTCGCCAGAGAGAACCGAAGGGGGGGGTCGTCCCTGAACGGCCCCGACGCGGCGCGAAACCTCCTCCCGGGGGACCTCGGCACTCACCCGAGCGAAGGGAACCGCCGGTCCCTCCGCGCGGCTCGCGTGTCTGTCAGCTGCGCACTGCCCCGGTCGCCTGGATTCACGCCGCCGCCTCCGCCATGTTCCTGGGGCGCCGCGCATGCCCGGCAGCAGCACTGGGGGCTTCCCTCCGCCTCCGAGTCCTCCCTTCACAGCCCACTGACAAGGGGGCGGGGGGTGGCGGCGGTTCACCCGCCGCCGCCGCCGTTACCACCATACGCCCCCCCCCACCGGCCGCGAGTGAAGCAACGTATTTGGGCGGCTATCCACGCCCACAGGAGGCGACTCCTGTGCACTTGCCGTTCCGGGGAGAGGGCGCGTAAACAGTTAACACAACACCACAGCCCTGGAATATGAGAAAGCACATCCCCACCCCACCCCCGTCACCAAGACCGGACAGTATCTGGACACTGCTTGTTTGGGTGCCCCGAAGCTTTTAAACAGATCATTTCTGGGAATACTACCTGAAATAATGAAGGCTTTCTAGTACTGTATAGTAGCAGCAGCATTGCATCATGCATGCAATATACTAATACGTAATGCTATTGATATTCTAATGAGTCAGTATTATACGAAAATCCGAAAACGGATCAAGGCAAAAAGAAACAGCTATAGAGCAGCTACTCTCCAAACCGAAAAAAATGTTTCTACAAAAGAAATGCTTGCCAATCATAAATCACATTAAAAGTTCTGAAAAGAAAACGTGCAATTCCTGGAAAGAAATACTGGGGCCCTTTCCCTAATCCTGGCAGAACGCAAATTAGTAAAGGGATGTGGAAGAAGTCTCTCTTTTTTGGGTCTAAAATGGGTGATCGTTCCCAGTGGCTCAGGAAAAGGTCCACGTAATTCAAGCATTTCTTTCATACACTGAAATGCATCTGTTTTTGTGGGCATACATGTGAGCTAATAATTTTATTTTTTAAAAAGGAAAGGTTGGTGAGGGGAAAATGGTTATCTCTCCTAATACAAATATTAATTTAATTATCAAAGTTAGCATGATTGTGTTATCACCACTTACTTCTGCTATTAATAGTTGTGCTCATCTTGTATGGACTAGGGCTATGCACAGAATAGGCTAAGATGACAAATTATTTTTGTGACCTTTTGACGTGCAGCTTTATTTTCCTTTATACCTGATGTGCTGGAGTGGGCTGCGACAGACTAAAAGTTATCCCCCCCCCGAAGTTGTTGCATTATCTGTTGTTTTCTAATAATTATCCAGCTTAATGTACATGGCATACTATGGTACATGTAATAATCTTATCTCTGTTATGCTCCCTTTCAAAACCTTTCTTTTCTATACCTCTGTAACTCTCTGCTTCTAAATAAATCTTTCTGTCCCACCTTTACTATTCCTTGTCAAGCTCTGTCATCCGACTTCAGGTTTTTCCTGTTCAGCATCTTGCAGTCTTAAGCAAATATAATAATAATTGTGTGTTATCCTGTCAATTCTGACTTATGATGGCCCTTTTCAGGGTCCTTCAGGTAGTGCGTGCTCAGAAGTGGTTTACCATTCTTGTCTGCAGCGGCCTCCTGGGATTCTGCAGCTTGTCCAAGGCCACACCAGCTGGTTGTACTCCCAGGAGGCACAGTGCGGAACCGAACTCCCAACCTCTAGCTTCACAGCCAGATAACTCACTAAGCTATCCAGCAAATATCCTTGTCTATATCCCAACGTGACATATAGACAACATGTATGAAATGACTACCATAAACATGGACAACTATAACATAGGCGTTTTGTCCATTTTTGATGATTAATTGTGACTAATCTCAGAAAAGTGATGTGAGGACAAGGCAAGAAATAGTGGATGGCCAAGAACTTGTGATTGTCAGCGTCATAAAATAATCGGCCCAAGTCTCTCTGGTTATGTTTTTATGGTTTTATTTCCATGATACTCTATGTTTTGTTCCTGCAGAAATTGCCCAAACTATATTGTTGTTCCCTTAGAAGGGATGGGTAAAACACTTTACTAGTTTTACCCATCCCTTCTAAGGTACTTTATACCTACAAACTCCTAGAAAGAGTTGCCGTAAGTCCAAATTGAGATGATGGCATGTTAAAAGGGAGAGACAGAAAGAGAGAATACTGGTCCTTCACAAACAAGTTAATGTCACTTCATCTTAATCATTTTTGGAGGGAATAACAATAATTCTGATTGCTTTGCTGGAGCTAGGTGGGATTGGGTTGAAAATTCCAAAATTTAAATTACCTTGTTTTAACAGTGTTGTAGATTACATTTTAGATGTTATACTTGTTATTGCTTGTAAACTGCATTTTGGACCTGTTTTGGTGAAGAGAAGTGGAGTAGAATTTATTGAAATATGAAAATACAAGAATTTCACATTCTTGTGAATGTGTCAGGGCCCCCTTCTGTCCTTGTAAGGAAGTGAACACAGTCAGGGCCCCCTTCTGTCCTTGTAAGGAAATGAACACATCCATATCTCTCTCTCTCTCTCTGTGTGTGCATGTGCGTGCATGTGCCCACATGCGGTGTGTGTGTGTGTGTGTGTGTGTGTGTGTGTGCATGTGCGCGCATGTGCCCACATGCACATACATGTGTGTGTGTATCACAGTAGTTTCAAACTCTTCAACAGACAACCAATTTATAACTCCCGTGTTCTTCTAGAATGTCAGAGGAAGAAAGCCCTTCTCTCAGTCAGAAAGAGGAGTGCCTCGAATATTATTAACAGATTCATACGCCCATCTGGGGTTTGTGAATTGACAGGCCCTGGTGAAAAGGAAAAGAGTAATACTTGAAAACAAAAGTTGTGAATTTTGCATATTGCTGACAGAATTCTGAGGCTTTTGGTCTGCTGGAATATGGGCAGCCCACACAGGTCAACTGCTGTTTTGCCCTCACACATGGAGGTATCAGGAAGCTGACATCTGTAGCTGTTCTTAACCACTGTCCTGTAGGGATTGGTCCACTGAATGAAAACAAACGAGCAGAATCCAGGTGAGCTGAACATGACAATGATTAGGAACTTCAAATCTCCTGATACAAGTTTTTACACATGCACTGAATGCCGTATCTGAGTGAGGATTTGAAAAACTGCAGTACTATATATATTTCCTGGAAGCATATCAGTTGAACATTGTAGACTTTCATTTTGTATAAATCACACATTGGATTGTGCTGTTCCTCCGCCTGGTCCAGATTCTGTGGATGGGAGCATATAGTTAGCTAACATCAGAGGAAGTTGCCTTTTCATTCTGATGACTCTCTTCCCCCATCCCAAGGACTCTATTAAATTCAAGTAGCAAAGCATTAAATGTTTTACGGGGGGGGGGGAGGCGGAGAGGGAGAGAACACATGATACTGTGGCAGCTGTGCCTTTTACTGCTTTGTAGTGGGGAGGGGAAAGGGTCCGGGTAACTGCTGTTTATTTTTTTATCTTTTCAGTGTTTTTGTAGCACTTATATAAAAGAATCTCATGTAATGAGAAACATAATGAACACAAATTTGAGATGAGAAGTAGTTATTATTGAAGAAGTCTCTTCACACTTTTCCGCACTTTTCCTCATCCTGAAACCTTTCTCCCACTTTTCTTCCTCTAGATATATGTGTCCATGATTTTCTTATTACGGTACATGCAATTCTTTTATATAAGTGCTATGAAAACACAGAAAATATTTTTAAAAACAGCAGTTATCAAAATACATATAAGGCTATACTTCACATGAACCTGTCATGAACAAAGTTATATTTGACTCACACCAGTCATGGTGAAATATATGTCTCAGTTAAATCAGTGGTCAAATACCCACTGAATTAAAAAGCCCAGGGGTATTCCTTGATTTGAATTTTGCTTCTGATTATGTGAATCTGCTTTTATTAAGGAGACTAATTTATCTTTCTCTGAGAAGAGGGGGGAAATAGTAATTAAATTGATTGTACAGAACTTGGTTTCAGATATCCTCCAAGGCAGCAGTCTTTAATATTGGCTGGTGTTTTTAATAATAAATTTTTCATAATGCTCCTGTTTCTTGCTAATAACAAGATAAATTCCCTTTTCCATTTCCGGTACTACATACATGCAGCTTCAAAGAGTAGGGTGAAGTTGTATATACATTTGAAACATATATAAAAATACTGTAATCCAGTGCAAATTTATTCAAAAGTAGGGCCACTGAATTCAAAGTGTCCTTAGGAAACAAGTATATATATAATTGGAAATTAATAATGAATAATTCTGAATATTTACATATATGAATATTGAGAAATTAGTTTAAGGAAGCACAATTAGACTGTTTTTAAATAATTGTCAAAAATAACTACAACAGAGCTCTTAGGTTACCTTGCTGGTATCAGAACTGTTTCATTCCACAGTTTTAGGAAACATGAGAACATTGAGACCTAGTATTATGAGCCCATGAGGATGACACATTACCCTCCCACACTAAGTGGCTTCTTGTTAAGAAATTAGATTAAATAAAAACATTAGTTATGAAAAGTGTTAAAAGGTGACCTACACCTTCATTAACTAAGACCAGAAAAAGACTTTAGAGATAGCCGATGACTGGAAGAGAAAAATTCTTGCTAATAAAAGCATCTGTGTCACAGTGCAAAATTTTGGATTAAGCAAATCAGTTTGAATTGTTTGGCAAATGGTCATCAGGGTTTACGTAAGTTTGGGACTCCTTCATATTCTGCTTGCACAAACCCAGAAATACTGCTTTATCATCTGTCTGCAACATTAATTAATTGCTAATTAATTCCAAAGGTGCTTTGTTTTGTTTTCTGTCAGGTACGAATCATGGACTCAGGGCGCAATCAGATGGCAGGAAAAATATACGTCTAATTGCAACAGAAAGGGTTGCTTTGTAGTGAGATATCTCCCTTGAAATGGCTCTTCCATTTGTCAAGGAATCGCTCCATCCCTGTCCTGAAAAAGGAGTAGCTCTCTAACTGGACCAAAAAGGTCCAACTTGGGCATGGATTGGGGGCAGGTTGGAGCATAATTCTCCATACATTGTGTAATTGTCGGGGGGAGGGATTGTGCCAAAATATGATCTGTTTTCCCCATGTGATCACACCCTCACTCCCACAGAGAACATTAGAAGGGTTTGTATTTGTGCACTGGCTTTAGAATTGGGATGATGCTACCAGTTATCTCATAGAGCATTGATACATTCTCATTTCTTTAATTTTATTTTGCAATAGATGTGCCATAAGTGAGCTGTAAGAGCTGGAAGCCAAATCAGACGTTGATCCAAGACTTGTTCTCATCATGACTGTGCATCCTAGGTAGCACTTTGGACTCCAGTCCAGAGGAGGAAGTACCAGAAAGATCAGCAGCGATGGACACATAGATTCAAGATCCAAACACAGCCTGAACCAGAGCTCTGGATTCAAGAGTTCCCGCCACAGGAATCCCTACAAAATGCACCCCCACTTCTCCAGCTGGGCTTCTGCACACACTCCATTGCCAGATTGTTAGTGCTAACAATTATGTGGAGGGAATTAAGGAAGACCAGGTGACAGGTTCCAGACTAGGTGACTCTGGGAAAGAGGTATAGTTTCAGAAAGATAGTTTGGGATGATAGCATAATCTTTTTTTTAAAATCCTGATTTTATCAAAGAAGGTTGTTCCCTTAGGGTCAAACTAAGTGAAACATTTGGCATATATTTGGAACTGTTCTTCAAGGGGTGAAAGATGTCTGTCATATTATGTATCATGTATTTTTCTTATCTCTGTAT